ACAAGCACAGTTTTATGCGCGAATTACAAAGTAATTTTTGTTTGAGATATATCCAAGTTTGATCAAACCCTCAAAACTTTTCTCAGATTGGTCAAAGCAGGTAAAAAACAATGTTTTTAGGCAAAAAATATGAGAAATAATTAATTTTTCTCAACCAAGATTGTCACAAAAAGGCTGATGAATTGCTCTAAAAAAATCGGATGGTACACCCGGAATTAAATTAGGCAATTTGACCCAGGAAAGCAAAAACGTTCCTGCGTTGGCGAAAAAACTGTCCAGCAAAAATTACACTAGCTTAGTCATGGATTAGTCACACTTTTAAATCTCAAATTATAAGTACCACCTTTTTAAAAATCAGCCTCATGAAAAACAGATGATCTAATGTACTGTTCTTCAGCGACAAAATTGCAAAAATTGCAATTGACTAACCTAATTAGTTTGTTTTAGTTACAGCCGCAAAAATGCAGTAAGACAATGCCGATAAAAGTTCGTGACTCTAAGATGAAGCAGATCGAGCAAAGAAAAACAGTACGCGCAGCGCAAATAACCCATAGTGTTCTCAACTACCTGGAGACAATGCAGTTCGAGTAAGTCTTGGGACTTTCCTTGTTCGCCTAGATTCAATTCGATTAACTATTGTGAAAAACGTGAAATTTTTGAAGTTTTTTGAACGTTACCTTCTAAACTGATGATTTAATTTTTGTGGTAAACACTTTGTTCCAATGCCAGAGAGAACCTCAATTCCATTACTAAACATAGTCAGTTTCCGGAAATCAGCGCACGCATCTAAAGTTGTTCGCTTTTTTATCAAACTTGAGCTAAAAAATAGTTAGCAAACCAAAAATTTTGTAAAAAATCAGGGGTCGAACAATGATAAGTGTGATTTTTTCAATGCTATAGAATAAGTAGGTTCAATGCTAGACTTTCTTTTGTGGCTAAACATAAAAACGAGGGGAGATTAGTTTCGTAAAACAGTTTCTTTCAATTTTCTTTGAAAGTTTCTCACAAAATCCAGATATGCGACCGTAAATTTTTTGTGGTTTCTGAATTTTTTTCAAGATCAGCTTTCATCTCGCTTTCAAAATAATTTAAACCAGGCCCAGACATTTGAAGTTTTGAGCAAAAAAATCAAAAACGCTGGTTTAGCTACAAAATCTCATGTAATAAAAACAAACTGTTACTGAACTTTTTTAAAACAAAAAAATGACCACACTGATTCTGAGAACGTATTAAAAAAAATTTGGCAAAAAAATTCGAATCATTACAAAAAATTCAACGTACATCTTTTCAAATTAACAAAACAGCGCATATCAGAGCGAAAACAATGTTCCAATTACCTTCTGAAGTGTTCGAAGCATTTTTACTCTGAAAAAATGCAAGATTTCAAAAGTGTTTATAAGATTAGGGGCCCAGTTAAAATTGGAAGTACTTGATTAATTTTTTGAAATTGTTCTGCCGATGCAGGCTAAAAGTAGATGAATTTTCGGTCAGAGAAAAGCGTTGACGTCTTGCCATTGGTACCACTTTTTTGAAAGTCGAAAAGTTTTTTTTGAGAAAAACTGCTGTTTTTCAGAAAAGTCAAAAAATTTTCCAAAGCGTCTCAAAAAAACTCCGAACCTTGTATTTTAATGTTTTTTCATAATGCTTTTTAAAAAAAGTTTTTTATCAAGCAGGAACTAAAGATTTCCTCTCAGAGGCAGTGTTTATTTGAAAACTTTGACCAGGAAATTGTTTGCATCTACTTACTCTCAATTTGGCCGAATAAGCCTAAACTATACTGCGAACATGAGCACTGTTTGACTTGTTGGTTAGGCAGCAAGATCGTCAGATGACCCTTAGCTGCTTGCTCCGCGTGTGCTAATTTAAGTGACTTGTACCTTTTGAGAGCTGTCGATCTTTCCTTTACTCCCGTCCACAAATTGCTGCTCCCGTCCACAAATCGTCATGAAAGGCTTTCGTTCACGGGGCTCTTTCAATATCGTTTTGATTTCAATTTTTGGCGGGAAAAAAAAGCTTTTTCGACGCCCTCTTTAGTCTAAATGATCCGATCGTTTGCTATGCAGCCCAGTGCAAGGTTACCTGTCCGATCACAAAAAAGCAGCTGCTGAGCTTTTCTCAATATTTGGCCCAATAAATTCATATGTAATAAATTGGAAAGGGCAAGGCCAAATATTGTAAAAACATGTGCATTTCAAAAGCCTCAATAAACACTTTTAATTAAGAGTTAGGTTGGATTTTCCACTGTCACATGAAACATTTTTTTTGGTTACTTTGATTAATTAAAAAAGGATCAACTGTGTTAACTTATTAATTATCGAATGTCAAAGCACATGCTATGAAAAAGCTGTAAGAGTGCCCGGAAAGTGGCGCCAATATTTTCGTCTAAGGTTAGAAAAAAAAAGGTTCTTAATAATAAACTAAGCTGACGCAATTGTAGAAATTCGACGACTTAACATTATCCCAATGTCATCTACACCCAACGTTTTCTAATTGACTTTTTTGTGATTTCTTGAAATTTTGAAAACTCAATTGGCTACAATTACCTGAGATTAATTTCCAACATTCGCTCTCCTCGTCATGAAGGACGCCACCAGCTGCATTTTTTACCAGTCTTACATAACTATCTTGCCCTGCTTAAGAATATTGAAGCACATTTTTTTGTCAAAAACATCATTTAATTTTTTTGGCATGGAACCGTACAGCACTCCCCCCCCCCCCCCCTTAGTGACCTACCGTAGAATTCTCTCACGAAGCATGTATTAGTACTGAAAAATAGTTTTGTATACAATATGCACTTCATAGAAACGCGCAAACAAACCTTTTTTCTACAGTTCTTACGCAGGATTGCATTTGGTGCCTACCCACGGAGCCGCATTCTCGGATAGCCTAAGAACTAAACATCTCCGGTTTTAACTAAATTAACCAAAACATTTCAGAACAAAATTGGATCGGCCGATAAAAATATCTGGCAGTAAAAATCTATTGATTGGACTCAAAAAACTTTGCAGGCTAGTAGCCAACAAAACTTCGAAAAAGTTAATGAGATTTGACGGATCAATAAACTTATTTTAATTGAATTACTTAACAACAAATATGCGACAAACTTTTAAACCATGAGTTTTTTTAAATAATAGGGTTCAGCATTAATAAATTGAATCAAAATAATGAAAAAAGAAACAGATTAGATACCAAAACGCAAAATCAGATCAACTAATTGAACAATTTGATAGCAATTAAATAAAGTTCCAAACACATTGAGCAATGTTTTCGAAAATTATGCTATTTACAATAATCTTAACAGTTCTTTTTCCAAGTAATAAAATTTAGTTTTTTTCTAGTTCACATCCCAATTGTCAAATTTTAGTAATAGATAGCTTGCTTTTCCGGAAAAATACTTCATTTAAAAAATATTTATTTGTTTTTATTCCGACAAAACTTGCAAAACCCTGACTGTTTCACCCCATTATATCGTTTTCCCGAGACAGCCAATCAGAAAATAAAAGACCAGCCATTCAAAGCAAAAGCAATTTAAAAAAATAAAAAAAACCTGCGCATACAATGAAAACGGCGCACGAAAAAGCTACTGAAAAATACAACCACGACCTAAAAAAAGCAATTAAAAAGGTCGCGATCATATCTTTCTCGTGCCTTAAAACATTTTTGCCAGCAAAACCGCATAAAATTGAGGCTGTACAAGTTCCACCAGTATTGGAAAAACTTTCTTTCTATTTGTTTTTGAATGATAAGAAACTTGGCGTGATAATATTTTCGACGAAAAAAAATATTAAACGGCTAACTTCATATGAAATTATTTTGGTGTGAAGACTGCGCCAGACCCGTGCTTTTAAACTTATACAGTTTTTGGTGATTTTGAAAACCACAAGAACCGCTGGTTTTGGCTCTTCTCTTTGAAAAGACAAGCGACCATTACAAAATTATATTATGATTTTTAGAGAGAAAATGGAAAGAACGACATTGTTTTTAAACCAGATAATAACTTTTCCGATTACGAAAAGGGACTCAAAGCAGTCGTAGCAGAAACTTTCCTAGAAAGTCACAATTTGGTTGCGATTTCCATTTTACGTAAGCACTTATCAAAAAATTAAATTACGTTCACTTGGCCTAATATCTGCCTAAAGATCATAACAGAAATTCAAAAAGTCATATGATAAAAATTTTCGCAATTTAGTTTTTACCAGTAGCTTCAGTTCGAATATGTCATGAAATATTTGTACACTCGCCCAAGTTTCTGGCTATGAAAACTTGATATTCACAGTTGCAAAATTCACAGAAAATTTTGAAAAGATTTGGCCAGGATTTTTTCCGATCAAGTTCTAGCGTGTTTTCGATAGAGAGCCAAAGTATCGATCCACCAATTGCTGTAGAGGCTGGAACAGTGGTTGGAAAAAAATAAGGATGAAAAAATTCGAATCGACTCACAATTAAGCAATTCAAAGCTGAAGAAAATTTTGCGAAACAAACAAAAATATTGCTCAAATCGGGTCAAGACCCAATGGGACAATCGAAAAAATTACGAAGAGTGAATTGTCAAACAACAGCGCTCAAACAACCTTTTCAAAAAAGAAATCCTAAAATAAAGGACTATTGGTCTGGTGTTTTAATTGTTTCTGCTTTGTTGTAACTTATTAATATATTTTTTTGTAATATTGTAATTGAGTAGTAAGAACAATTGTATTTTAGGCTATGCGCGAGTTGACTTTTTGGCTATCTGGGAAAGATTTTTTCGGCTATCTGGGAACGAATTTTTTTTCGGCTATCCGGCAACGAACTCCGGCAATCCGGGTATTCGGCTCTGCGAAACGCTACCTTGAATTTGTATGTTGTTAATTAATTAGGTTAATGCTTTAATTCCATTTTTTTTAGTAATATGGCATTTTTTGAACGAATCTAGGCTATACTCAAAGTTAGCTTATGAAAAATCCATATTTTCTTCCCCCCGCCCCCCCCCCCCTAAATTGATTGGGGGAGGGGGTATCGTACGGTTGATCCGTTATTTATTTTCACTTATTCAATTTCACAATTTATAGACCCGCTTATTAATTTGAGTTTAATTATTAAAATTATTTGGTTAGGTTTTGTACATTTAATGATGACATATTACAAAATTACGAGAGTTATAAGCAGTTGATTTTTTTTCTTTTTAATTCCTCTCAATTGCTTCGATGTCTTCCAAGTATGCTTTGCATTCTTCAACTTCTTCGGTCAATTCGCTTTTCTGCTTTTCGAGACGGTCGAACTCATCCACACTCAAACTGTACTCCTCTTCAAGGCTAAAATGAACACAATTGTGACGTCATTAAAGAAATTAAGTTCACGAAACTCATCGTTCATAAAACCGATGTTTTAATTAGCTTAAAACCTAAGATAATTTTCAGTCTTTCCCTGTTATAGCTCCCACATGGTAACTTCACAAAGTACGGTCTTCAGTTTGAAAAATTTATGGGAAATAACCGATATTTTTAGACAAAGAGTTTTGTCTGGGCCAAAAAGGGTGATATGTTTCTCAGAATTTTATCTAAAATTTGAACAGCTCAGAACAAAGTCCAAATCAAGCAGTTTTTTCTTTGTTTCTTTCTTCCATCGGGCCGTTTAAGTTGATTATCTAACTTCAACCCATAGTTTTTTAAATTGCTATCAAATTTTAATTTAACTGTTTTAAAGACTGTTAACTCATTATGAACGCACCTGGAAATTTCCTTCAGAAGGCCAGCCAAAACTTCTTCTTTTTTGTCCAACTCCAAATCGAGACCTGTCAAAAAACTGTCGAACATCTTCAGTTGTTCCGCGTGTCCATTGTCACTGTCTTGTGAATACACGACAGCAAAAAGCACAATTGTCAAAACGGCGATTTTGGCGAACATTTTAGTTTGCGTTTTTGCGTCGGCTGGTTTTTTTTGCTACTGTTTTCAAGACTAGTCAAATGTCAGTTTTTATGCCAATTTGAATTCAAAAAGCGTCGTAATGTAAGTATAATGCAAACCACTATCAGATAGTATTGAAGTTATTAATTACGTGCAAGTTTCTACTATAACATGTTGGTTTTAAATGCATTTTGCTAAAAACCACGTTAAAAATTAATCCAGCGAAGTACGTTTTGATAGAGAATAGAGAATAGTTACATTTAAGTAACCAGCTGCGAACCATTTTCTTCTGGTGGTTTGATTTATACATTTGTGAACTGATTTTTACAAAACTGATTGATATCTAAAACTCCGAGACGTTTTGTTCATCACAGCAGCAAAGAACAAGAAAAAAAACGTGAAACGACGCCTGAGAAGCATTAGTAATCAAATAAAGATTCGATGTTTTTACAATGAAGGGTACTTTTTTGTATGAAAACAGTGTTGAAAAGCCCTTCTTTGTTGAGAGCAGAATAAATGTTTGTGCTTTTTTGGTTTATTTTGAATTCAATTGAAGGACGAGGGCCACACGTGTGATGACGAAAGCAACAAAAATCTTATTCTATTTTTGATAGTATAATTTTGAAATCTAAGGATTTCATGTCAAACTAATTTCAAAAGTGGTGATTCATTAGTTCCATTAAAATTCTCAAAACTTTTCCAATTTTTAAGCACCTCATAAAGTCAACAACTCCTGTTTAAGGGCAATTGCTCTAGACTTCGGTCTGCAGCAGACTTGCCTGATATAATTTTTGGGGAAAGAATGTTCACGTCGTTTTAAAAAATTAAAGAAATTTCCTAAACTTGCTGAAGAATCTTTCTGTCGCAATTCTTGACAAGCACTAAATGAAGGCAAAAGTTAGTTCAATTAGCAGTTTGGGAGCAGTTCTAGGAATTTCTCCAGGGAGGGGGGAGCGGATTTCCAAAAAAAATTTGAAAATTTTGTCGACCTTTTTTTTAGTTCAATCAAATTGATTCTCTGATGTCTCCCAAACCACACTCTAAAGTCCCTGAAATCGCGTTTTTAGTGTAGATCCCCTCAAAACTAGTGTAGATTGGCGCCGAAGGTGCCTTTAGAAAAATTTTAAGGTCAGTTAGCCGAAAATGGATATCTCAAAATAGTACAAAGGGGGGACCCTTTGGGTCGGCAGGGGGTCGAATTCCTGAGGAGGGGGGAAAAGGGCGTCCGCCCCCTCTAAAACCGCTACTGGCTACTACCATTAGGTTTGTATGGCTTAATTATTCTTCCCACCACTTTGGCATTATGAACGTCTTAGTTTTTTGGTTCCCCGCAAAATCACGTGTAACTAATACTCATCGGAATGAGTAGAAATATAAATTTTGTCAAAGCCCTGTATGTCAAGTTTCAATCCCAAAAACCCAAAAAACTTTAAAAAGTTGGGAAGAACACTGGTTTCAAGTTTATTAGTCTCAATCTTGTTTACACAAGTAAAGAGTTCGGTAGGAAAATTTATATAAAAAATTTCTGTTACTCCTGAAAAACTAGTTTTGGAAAACTTTTTAGCTACCTCGGCAATAAAATTTTCAAAAAAAAATCAAAAATTTTCGGAAGACTTCTTAATTCATACCTTATTCACTAATTTTTGTTTTAGTTTCAACTAACCAATATATATCCTATTAAAACATTTTCAAATAGTTTTTTCATCACAACACATACAAAAGTTATTTGTGTGTAGTGTTTTTCTGAATAGTGTCTGATCGTTTTGTGCTCTTTGCAGAGCAACCAGTGATCTTTGTTTAAATATGTCGTCATTTAAACAAAGCAATGACGCCTAAATTTGCATTTATTTATAGATTATAGATTTATTTTGATAATGCACTGTAAACGTGGGGGAATTCACAATATCTCTAGGCCGGTCTTGCTCGCTATTTCACACCGCCGCAATATGTTCTCTTTGGTACTGAGGTAAGCGGGGCCACCGATTCCCAGTACTGTTGACAATCCCGAAAGGGTTGATTTGGTGGTTGGCTGCTCTGTACTGTACTGTGCTGCTCGCCACGTGATTCGTGCTCTTCCTACTGTATCTTAACCGACAATCAATAATCGATCGCAACAATAATTCCAATGATAAGAATGAATTAAGAATTGATTATAACCAAATACAGAGTAGCCTGTAATTGGCTGAAATATAAATTAATCATTCAATTAAAGAAAGTGATTCGCGATTACTATTATTTAAACCAACTGCATCCTGCAGTTCAATTAACACCTTACTACTAACTAACGTTCTCCTCGAGAAATTCTTTCGATATCAATCGTTCAACAACACTTCCGCTATCCTCTAGATGGCCTAACTAACATTCACTAACTAATCTACATTCACTTTAACAAGTCTCCCAACTCGTTCTCACTTTACTTTGAGAATCAAGCGACTACCTTAGCTTGTAGCCCAAATTTTTCTCCAACTAACTGAGAACCAACTACTTGATTCGCTCGCAATAGTTTTTCTGACTCTTACAGGCTCTCCGGTATCCTCCAATTCCTTATCTTTCTTTACACTTAGTTTTAGTTAAGTCACGCCATTCCCTATCAGTCCTGACATCCGCCTAAATCACCCGTTTGCACATGTTTTAAGGCTATATCACTCCTCCTGTCAACTCTGCCACGTGCCAGTTTCGGTTTCTTTTATCAATCTTTCCATGCTTATCAGATACCCGGTATGCGGTAGCTGTCACAATTTGACCAAGCAAAAAACTCTCATGCGATTCTAATCAACTAATTCTTGAACTCAGTGAACTCGAGCTCTCGAGTTCAACTCAACCTCCAAACCACGCTATGTTCACTCAGTAATCCTAAAGGTCTTTATTTTAATTATCCCGTTAACGTTCCCGTTCTCCCAAGGGTAGGGGGTGACCATTTTTTCTTGGGTAGCTAAATCATTTCAAGCACCTACGATTTCTATCTGTACTCTATTCCAATCTCGACTTTCTAGCTATCAGGGGAACGCAGTTCGTCTATTAAGGGTCAAATCAAACCAAAAAGTCACCTCCGGAAAGCCAAGTAAATTCCTCGTTCGTTCATACTATTTAGGAGACTTAATTCTCATACTACGGTCCTAATACTATCTATTTCCTCTGGGACTAATTTTCTTTATCTAGTTGAATTGCCATTAATAGATCACTCGCCAAGCTAAACTGAACCCAATGTTTACCATGTTCACTTTGAATTAAATCCACTACTCCAAGGTTGCAATGTAAAAGCAATATCTCTATCAGCTTCTGCTTTACCTCCCGATATATAAGATTCCCCCCAATTTTTTAGCAAAACGACCCATTCTCATTTCCAGGGGTTGGGCTGTGGAATACGCTCGTTTCCGGTGTTATCCCCGAGGTTTTCTATACAAATTTGATCCTAAATGCCCAAAGGTCAACTTAAGGTCACCCACGGGTCAACCGGGCTCAACCTTCCATATTTGGTTTTAGGATCCCATAGGGGTCCTACCTACCAAGTTCCATCCATATCCCGTTAACACTTCCCAAGTTATACCCTTTCTAAGGTCCATTATCATTTTTCCCGGAAAAAAGGTTATTAACAACGGAAGGACGCGCCGGAGGGTTTTGACTCACAAGGGGCTTTTTTTCGGGAATGAGTTGTAGTATCTGATACCGTCATAAAATCAATATGCCCTCGCTCATTATTTTGCGTAAATTGCCTACTTCCGGTTTAAGGGGGGGGGGTTTCCAAAGCGCTAATAACTTCCGGTTCAACCGCTGGATTTGGTTCAAATTATACTACCAGATGTAACTTGCCAGTACCTATCATTCCTCAAAGTTTCGGCTCCCTGTGCTCATCGGGGGCCGAGAAAAGACTTCCGAAAATTAGGGGTGGGTTTGTTTACTTAGGGCGTAAAACCGGAAGTGGGGGTCATAGCAGTCTGGGGTTCCAAACTTAAGCTTTCCTTAACTAGGTCTATAACATACTTTTTTTTGGTTCCATTCCGACTGCTAGGAAACGTGTTCTGATAGGGCCGTTTGCATTTCCGGGACCATTTCCGATCATTTCCGATCACTCGGGGCCAGGGTCCAAAGGGTCTGGATTTTTGCATGCCCGGGTCAAATCATCTCTAGTATCCGTCCTATGAGTTTCATAAACCTAGCCGCTGTAGTTCCCATTTGGGGGTGGGGGGTTTGCAAATCTTACTTCACCTGAGTTTTCTGCCGTAAGAGGGACTACATCTTCGAAGATTCAATTATTTCGAACTTTACCCTTTGTTTGCTGTACTACTTAACCAAATGACGAAACAATCTTACGCTCAGGTTACTATAGCATGTAATACAGTAGAATCACCAATTCTACAGACTTCCCTTCTAGTCTATTTTTCTCTCGAATAACGTTAAATTAACTCCTAACAAGGCCTAATGATAAGTTACATAAGTCTTCGCTTCGCCGTGCTCCCTAACACTTAGTCGTTTTCCCTCCCTTCAAAGTTTTACCCTTAAAATATCGCGGACCCAACAGTTAGTCCAATAAACAATGATATAGCACAAAGAGTAACCTAAGAGGGGACGTAACTGAATTAATTTTACTCTTCATGGTACGATCCAACCATTTCACATTCATAATCATCGCTATCAATTGTCTGCACAACAGTTCAGGTGGGATTGCACTGAATGAATAAGCACCAACTAATGAGATAAAAAGAGACAGTTTACTAACGAAGTTTTAGCTCACAAACTCGTCGATTCCAAACCGTACAGGTGGTCTCCTTACTCGAGTTGGTCGACCGCCATCATCTGCAGTTTCAGTTTCCATCACCGGTTCGGCAGCCATCACCTCGCCAGGTGGTCTGTCTTCCGTCTCACAGGTAGATTCGCTGGCTCCTCTTCCCTTCTGGCCTCCAGTTCCGTCGCATCGTGTGCCTCAATCGCATCTTCTCCCCTCCTAGCCACTTCTCGCATCATTCGTGGTGGATCAGCGAAGTATTCGGTCATCGCTCGAATTCGCACATTTCTCCCGGTCGGATTAAATTGTGGCACGACTGCTCGATTTCTCGCAGGCAACAACCTCACTGGTACATCTCGTGGGCCTAGGTCATGGCTAAAATCCTCCCCGTTGTTCGCCCACAACAACTCATCTTCATCATACATC